TTAGAGATACAGGCTTCGGACAGGTACCAAATTAAAGCCCTTTCAAAACCCTACATTTTGACTACATGGACGACTCTCTACTCCCAGTAGAAGCGGAGATATCGACGGATGAAGACTGGATATCGACGGAGAAAGGTTGGAAAACTTTAACCTTCGATATCTCCTAAACGGTTAGAGATACAGGCTTCGGACAGGTACCAAATTAAAGCCCTTTCAAAACCCTACATTTTGGACTACATGGACGACTCCTACTCCCAGTAGAAGCGGAGATATCGACGGATGAAGACTGGATATCGACGGAGAAAGGTTGGAAAACTTTAACCTTCGATTCTCCTAAAGGTTAGAGATACAGGCTTCGGACAGGTACCAAATTAAAGCCCTTTCAAAACCCTACATTTTGCACTACATGGACGACTCTCTACTCCCAGTAGAAGCGGAGATATCGACGGAGAAAGGTTGGAAAACTTTAACCTTCGATATCTCCTAAACGGTTAGAGATACAGGCTTCGGACAGGTACCAAATTAAAGCCCTTTCAAAACCCTACATTTTGCACTACATGGACGACTCTCTACTCCCAGTAGAAGCGGAGATATCGACGGAGAAAGGTTGGAAAATTTAACCTTCGATATCTCCTAAACGGTTAGAGATACAGGCTTCGGACAGGTACCAAATTAAAGCCCTTTCAAAACCCTACATTTTGGATACATGGACGACCCTCTACTCCCAGTAGAAGCGGAGATATCGACGGATGAAGGATGGATATCGACGGAGAAAGGTTGGAAAACTTTAACCTTCGATATCTCCTAAACGGTTAGAGATACAGGCTTCGGACAGGTACCAAATTAAAGCCCTTTCAAAACCCTACATTTTGCACTACATGGACGACTCTCTACTCCCAGTAGAAGCGGAGATATCGACGGAGAAAGGTTGGAAAACTTTAACCTTCGATATCTCCTAAACGGTTAGAGATACAGGCTTCGGACAGGTACCAAATTAAAGCCCTTTCAAAACCCTACATTTTGGACTACATGGACGACTCCCTACTCCCAGTAGAAGCGGAGATATCGACGGATGAAGACTGGATATCGACGGAGAAAGGTTGGAAAACTTTAACCTTCGATATCTCCTAAACGGTTAGAGATACAGGCTTCGGACAGGTACCAAATTAAAGCCCTTTCAAAACCCTACATTTTGCACTACATGGACGACTCTCTACTCCCAGTAGAAGCGGACATATCGACGGAGAAAGGTTGGAAAACTTTAACCTTCGATATCTCCTAAACGGTTAGAGATACAGGCTTCGGACAGGTACCAAATTAAAGCCCTTTCAAAACCCTACATTTTGGACTACATGGACGACCCTCTACTCCCAGTAGAAGCGGAGATATCGACGGATGAAGGATGGATATCGACGGAGAAAGTTTGGAAAACTTTAACCTTCGATATCTCCTAAACGGTTAGAGATACAGGCTTCGGACAGGTACCAAATTAAAGCCCTTTCAAAACCCTACATTTTGCACTACATGGACGACTCTCTACTCCCAGTAGAAGCGGAGATATCGACGGAGAAAGGTTGGAAAACTTTAACCTTCGATATCTCCTAAACGGTTAGAGATACAGGCTTCGGACAGGTACCAAATTAAAGCCCTTTCAAAACCCTACATTTTGGACTACATGGACGACTCCTACTCCAGTAGAAGCGGAGATATGACGGATGAAACTGGATATCGACGGAGAAAGGTTGGAAAACTTTAACCTTCGATATCTTCTAAACGGTTAGAGATACAGGCTTCGGACAGGTACCAAATTAAAGCCCTTTCAAAACCCTACATTTTGCACTACATGGACGACTCTCTACTCCCAGTAGAAGCGGAGATATCGACGGAGAAAGGTTGGAAAACTTTAACCTTCGATATCTCCTAAACGGTTAGAGATACAGGCTTCGGACAGGTACCAAATTAAAGCCCTTTCAAAACCCTACATTTTGGACTACATGGACGACTCTCTACTCCCAGTAGAAGCGGAGATATCGACGGATGAAGGCTGGATATCGACGGAGAAAGGCTGGAAAACTTTAACCTTCGATATCTCCTAAACGGTTAGAGATACAGGCTTCGGACAGGTGCCAAATTAAAGCCCTTTCAAAACCCTACATTTTGGACTACATGGACGACTCTCTACTCCCAATAGAAGCGGAGATATCAACGGATGAAGGCTGGATATCGACGGAGAAAGGTTGGAAAATTTTAACCTTCGATATCTCCTAAACGGTTAGAGATACAGGCCTGGCTCTGGTACCAAATTAAAGTCCTCTCAAGACTCTACAGTTTCGACTACATGGACGACTCTCTATTCCCAGTAGAAGCGGAGATATCAACGAAGGAGGGTTGGAAAACTTTAACCTTCGATATCTCCTAAACGGTTAGAGATACAGGCCTGGTTCTGACACCAAATTAAAGTCCTCTCAAAACCCTACATTTTCGACTACATGGACGACTCTTTACTCCCAGTAGAAGCGGAGATATCGATGGAGGAAGGCTGGATATCGACGGAGAAAGGCTGGAAAACTTTAACCTTCGATATCTCCTAAACGGTTAGAGATACAGGCCTGGTTCTGGTACCAAATTAAAGTCCTCTCAAAACCCTACATTTTCGACTACATTGACGACTCTCTACTCCCAGTAGAAGCGGAGGTATCAACGGAGAAAAGTTGGAAGACTTTAATCTCCGACTATTCATAGTTGGATATTATATTTGAAATCGTGTTAAGATCATTTTCATTTGTAGCCAATACAAAGATCCGTACAGTATCTGAGGATGAACTTAAGACAATTTTAAATATGAGATCGAACAATGAATATTTATTTATGAATATTGACCTTAGCGAAAAATACAGAGTTCAAAATCCGTGTTTTTTTTATTGCATGTATTTTATGAAAATTGTTATTAGAAATTAAATTTTATCTTGTTTTAATAGTGCAATATTATTAATATTTCATGACTTATAAGTGCTTCAATGTGATAATTTACACTGATCGATTGATATATGTATTAAATAAGAAATTTCTATTAAAATATGCGTAGTTACAGGAAGCACATCTAACCGCCACGAAGGCGAACAAAATACTCCTTTCAATCTTCTTCTTCCTCTTCTTATTGAATATGACAACGTCTTTCAATCTTCAATTTCGTTAAGTTAGGTTGTGTATATAAGTCTAGTAATTTTCCTTGCACTGAGATTGTTCGAAATTATTGAATGCGTTCACGACACTCAACAGTTGCGCAACTGTTGAGTAATTCAACGTTATTGGTATGAATGTAAGGATCTAACAGTAAGGACCAATAGTCACTTATCGTTCACTGAGCGGTTTTCTCCGCCGAACGCACCCAATGGCCGCGTTCAGCAGAAAAAGCTGCTTACTAAACGCTTAGTAATTATCATTCCTGATTGGTTGATTCCCCTAGATTTGTTAAAGATCTAAAAGAATACTCTAATCATAGATAATAATCACTAAGCGCTTAATAAGCAGCTTTTTCTGCTGAACGCGGCCATTGATTCCACTCGTTCCTCTCGTCTCACTTAATTCCGACTACAACATGGGAAAAGCCGATTCCACTTCGAACTATAATATTATTATATATATTATTATATATAATATTATTATATAATATTATATATAATATTTCGAGCTATGTTTCATATTTTGGCCACGATATTTCTAAGAGGACGCTAGTGCACAGCAAAATTTCTCTGGTACTCTAATACCCGTATTCATAGTCAGGCCTTATATTTGAGGCCTCCTTGTATCCATCTTTAGATGCTGCAAATTATTTTATTGGCTACAGACCATCTGAAGATAAATTTAAGGAAGCCTTAAATATAAAGCCTGACTATTGGTCTGTTCTTTTTAGCTGCACTACTGAACTAGTGCAATAAGTTAAAGTAAGAAAAAATATAGTTGTCTCATTCTAACTTATTGCACTATTTCCGCAGTGCAGCTAAAAAAGAACAGACCATATGAATACGGATGTAAATCCCGTAATGGAGGATTCACACTGCGTCCGATGTCCGACGTACGATGCCCGACATCCAATAGGAGAACAGCTTTCCAATGGAGAATTCAATTCTCCATTCGTCGGACATCGGATGCAGTGTGAATCCTCCATTAGGCCAATAGTCTTTATAGAGAAGCACCCAATTCGACACAGCACGATTGCACATAATCAACCGATGCAAAGTATTATCTAGTGAATTAGTAAATCCAACCAATCAATTGGTCTGTTCTTTTCAGCTACACTGCGGAACCAGTGCAATAAGTTAGAATGAGACAACTATATTTTTTCTCACTTTAACTTATTGCACCAGTTCAGTAGTGCAGCTAAAAGGAACAGACCAATTTACTTTTGGTGTTTACGATAAATCGAGTTCGAGTTAGTTCCGTTAGGACTGAAAGGTATGATAGGCACGACCATCTATTATTTTCATGATTTATGACAATGCTCCGTTCGATAAATCGAGTAGAGTAGAGTAGGCTAACTTAGCAGTGTTCGTGCGAGACAATCAACAATATTTTATATGTCATCAACAATACATATATATCTTATATTTTAAAAAGAGAACTTTTGTTCTGTAAAAATAGATAATGTGAAAAGAATATTCATAAATAGATTAGAATAATTGAATTTCCTATTTCGAATATTCTACAAATATATAGTTTTATAATTACTACAAATAAATATTTATCATTTTTCTAAAATTTAACAACTTATTGTTTTTTAATATAATTATTTAATATTTTACAAAACTTTATTATCTGATAAAATATTGTTGATTGTCTCGCACGAACACTGCTAAGTTAGCCTATTCTACTCTACTCGATTTATCGGACAGCATTGAGTTGTTATAAATCATAAAGATAGTAGATGGTCGTGCCTATCATACCTTTCAATCCTAGTGGAACTAACTCGAACTCGATTTATCGTAAACACCTTTTGTGTCCAATCGTGCTGTGTCGAATAGATACGCACCTGTCTTTATAGCATTTCGTCGATGCCGCCTTAGTACCGAATGCACTAAACGCGAGACAACTTGCTCACTACGCGTGCGTGGCTTTCTCGGCCATTTGCTGTCAGCTATCGGAGCTCGGAGCAAGTTGTTCACCATCTTTCAAGCTTGTGTGCCCATTTGGACAAAATGGGTATAGCGCAAACACGTCCACAACTATCGCGTTTATAAAATATTCATAAAAATAATATATACTTGTTTTCTTCGTTTCTTTGAAAAGCCTTCTCGTTACATTGATCATTTACAAATACGAATATAATGAAAAAAGCTTTCCATCATTGTAGCATCTACGAAGCTACTTATCGCGTACAATTAAATCACCGAGCGTATTAATGTTGAATATTATGTACCACCTGAAATTATCTATTTACTTTTGTTTATTAATACAAAATTTATTCGTGTATAATAAAGTCGTATTCTATTCAACGAAATACATAATATATTCAAATGTTTATACGTAACCTAATTTCACCTGACACTCGGTTATTTCTGTATTATAAGGCAAACCCAGAGGTCTTCGTACTGCACGTAAACATGTCAACCATCGACGCGATCAACGGTGGAACGACAAGGACTACAAGAAAGCGCATTTGGGGACAAGATGGAAGGCCAATCCTTTCGGTGGTGCTTCCCACGCCAAAGGAATAGTTTTAGAAAAAGTGTATGTAATAATGTGATTGCTTCTGGTTTTAGAGTCATGTTGTTTAATGTTTTCTTTTCTACTTATACAGAGGAGTAGAAGCTAAACAACCAAACTCTGCTATCCGCAAATGCGTTAGAGTCCAGTTGATTAAAAATGGCAAGAAGATAACTGCGTTTGTACCAAGGGATGGTTGCCTCAATAACATCGAAGAAAATGATGAAGTTTTGGTGGCAGGTTTTGGCCGCAAAGGTCATGCTGTTGGTGACATTCCGGGAGTGCGTTTTAAAGTGGTCAAAGTTGCAAATGTATCTCTACTTGCTCTTTATAAAGAGAAGAAAGAGAGACCTAGGTCCTAAGTGATTAATTCTCAGCTATGTATATATAATTAAAAATATATACGCAGTTTATAAATATATATAATTGTACTTTAATTTTATAAAGAAAAAATATCCTAATAATTATTAAGCCTTGAATTTTATATTATTATGAAACTCACTATGTGCATTTTATTACAAGGATTAACTTATTTTGATATTCCTATGTTTTCTTAGTATCAAGATTGTTATGAATACACTTCTCTAGAAAATATATAAAACTTCAAAATATAAATCCTTTAAAAGGCTCAAAAGTTTAAATAGCAAAATCAGCTCTTTGACTGAGACTTGAATCACAAATTAGCATTTTTCACTACAATTTTAATATGTAAAATGAAAACAACTATAGTTTAATTAGTAAATTGGCATATACTTAATATATAAAATATTCAGATGAAATTATTTATATTAATTAGATTGTCGTTTACATTCGTTTGGGATTCATTAGAAATTTATAAATGAATGCAGATAATCAAGACAAATTCTCCGACAGATTAAGGAAATATAGTAGGGAATTTTATAGGAATTACTTAAAAGTACTTTCTAATGATTATTAGAATTAAACTATTATACATTTTAATTCTTTTTATATTTAATTCTTAATAATTATATATAAAAATATAAATATATCAGAATTTCACGATTTAAGACCTGGGCCTCTCCTTTTTCTCTTTATAGAGTGCCAACAAGGATACGTTTGCTACTTTTACAACCTTAAATCGTACTCCTGGTATATCACCAACGGCGTGTCCTTTACGGCCAAAACCCGCTACCAAAACTTCATCGTTCTCCTCGATGTTATTAAGACAGCCGTCTCTTGGTACAAAAGCAGTGATCTTCTTCCCATTTTTTATTAATTGCACCCTGACACACTTGCGAATAGCTGAATTTGGTTGTTTAGCTTCTACTCCTCTATATGAATGAAAAAACAAAAATATCAGTGGATCACATGACTCTAAAGCAAACACAATTTCTGCTATATTGTTAGATGACTGTATTAACACATACACTTTTTCCAAGACGATGCCTTTTGCATGAGAGGCACCACCGAAGGGATTGGCCTTCCATCTGGTTCCTAAATGTGCCTTTTTGTAATCCTTATCGTTCCATCGCTGTTCGCGTCTGTGATTGACGTGCTTGCGAGCAGTGCGAAGACCCCTAGGCTTACCTTACGATATAAAAATAGCAAATAATTAGATTATACATGTGCATAATTGTAAAAATTGGTGACTGATCGTGAATTTGTAAAATATTTCGGAAATTTTTCTTTCATTTTAATAATCAGTTAAAAATATGTGATTATAACCTACAAGTGGAGCACACGTGTGGTGGTGTGAATATTGAATAAAATATATTTTTTAAAAATCCCCAAAAAATTATGTTATTTTGGCAAAAAATAAAAAGGTAATTGTACACCATTGTAACATACCCATATTATTTGAATTGCTTCACAAATGTCGAAAAAATTGAGTTAAATGCTCTACGGAAGAAAAGCGGAAGAACACACTTCTTTGGAAAAGAATGGGTTCACGACATTCAACGGTTGAACAACTGTTGAATAATTCGTCAACGTTATTGGTCTGAATGTAAGGATCTAACAGTAAGGACCAATAGCCACTAATCGCTCATTGAGCGGTTTTTTTCGCTGAACGCACCCAAATGGCTCACGCTATGGATATTTGATCTTTGTCCAACGTGACTTTTACTGGAGAAAGCTTAAACGAAGATAACTTGTCACGACAATAGACAAAGTTGGAGAATAACGCCAGTTTACGTAATTTGACAAAGACTATTTTGATTGCAACTTTAAAAATTTACAAAATACCTTTAGTTTAATCTCGATTAAATTTTACAGAGGCCGGTAAATTATAATTCAAATCAAAATTTTATGGTGATCGATCTTTTGTGGCTTAATACTTGGCTAAATTTTATGATTAATAAAGATATTATATTTTTAAGTTTAAGTAGCAAAGCTTTTTTTTCCTGTTGTAAACATATAATTTATATAATAATAATTACAAATTTATGTACAGATTTTTAAATCTTGTCCTAACAATAAATAACGGATTTAAATTTTACGCCGAATGTATTGAATTAAATGAAATGAATTAAAATCGTGATATGACTCAATAATGAAACCGATCAAAGGAGTTTTATTTTCCAAGTAATCCTACTCAACGGCGAGTCAGGCGTCGTTTACTCTGCTATGAAAAATGAGCGATTCAACGAGCTGTAATCTCGCTTTGGTAAAAATAATGATAGCGAGATGATTCGAAGAGCATTTCAAAGCTTAAAGTCTCTACTTTCCAGATGCATTAAACTCATAATGTTGTTATCGTTTGTTATTAAGCTATACTCAATTGAGTAAGAAATGGCAATTTATCAGATTTCAATTTCATCTTTTAGTTATTTTTACATCGAAAATTTAATTTTATCAAAAATGAAAAAGATTCATCTTAAAAAGGAAACTTTAAGCTTTCTATTTGTTTTTATTTTTATCGAAAATAAAATAAAAATAAAAATCAAATCAAATCAAAAATAAAATAAAAATAAAAATTTATTTTTATAAAAAATAGGAAAGATTCATCTTAAAAAGGAAACTTTAAGCTTCCTATTTGTTTCCTAATGAACTGCGGATATTAATTTGCCCATCTTTTATGAGCGTGAAAGCCGAAAGACGGTTATTTTATTGCAATAATAAGGAACTTGACGAAAAAAGATCTGATTGTAATCCACGTATGTGCAAATTAAAATTAAAAGTTTGCACTTTTGAGCGATACGAATGCCATATGTGCGTGCCGTTTTACACGGTTGAAAATATTCAGGAACTTTAAGCTATAAAATGCCTTCCTGATCGTTTCGTTGTTACTTTTGAGAAAGTTGCAATTTATTCAATTTCAGGATAACACATTTCGGCGGCATAGCTCCGATCAGCAGACAATATTTTTTTTAACATTTTTCAAATATTTATTTTATAATTTTGCTTCACATTTCTTCCATTCGTTGCATAAAAATATTTATTTAACGCTTATTTCATGCATATTTTATATTAATGTTTTACTTAAAATAATGATTAAGAAGAAATATTTATTTAACGTTTATTTAATATTTACTTTACATTAATAACTCGTTTAAAATTACTTTTAACATTTTAAAAATGTTTCTCAAATGTTTTGTTAATATTTTAAAAAATACTTTTTTCTGATTGAAGCGGAGCGTACGTTTCATTTCCACGTGTCACACTTCGGGCATATCACTTTTGCCAGAGAGATAACTTTCGGAAAATCAATTCGCTATTCAAACACGCGCTGGTCAAACACCGCGGATTATCAATCTTATCTGCCGAGCAGGAACGTACACATAAATCACCGCCGACTAATAAGCCCTTCCCCGTCGACTCGGTCATCTCCAAGAAAACGCGAGGCAGCAGGAAAACCCACGTCCGTCTATTTTTCAACATACACGCTCCAAAAGTGCATATTAATTACGTAACATTCTTGTAACGCGCGTTACATAACGGAGCGGCCGACAAGATTGCCGAAAAGCCGAAAAGTTGCGTGTTTCCACAAGCGGAATTATTTTTCATATATTCCTCTCTCTCTCTCTCTCTCTCTCTCTCTCTCTCTCTCTCTCTCTCCGCCCCCCCTCTCTGTCTCGACGCCAGCAAAATTGTTATTCATCCCTGAGCGACGACAGCAGCGGGAGAAAGCGGCAGAGAAAGGGAGACAGAGACGGAGCGAACCGGCCTGATATATGACGTAGCGACCAGACCAGGCAGGCTGCGGAGCCCGGACTAGGCCGGCCCGTCCGTCTCGCTCGTTAAATCAGTGCGTTACGCGTCAGCGTCAGCGTGTAAGCGTCTAATAACGAAACGAGCACTGCCGCGAGCGACAGCGGTTCGTGCTGTCGTCGTCGTCGTCGTCGTCGTCGTCCGTGATCCCTGCTCCGCCGCCGTCCCCGTCGTCGTCGCCTGTGCGTCGGCTACGTTCGCACGTCCGGTCGGCCGCCTAATCGGAGCGCAGTGCAGCGCAGCGCAGGTGCAGCGAGGAGAGGGTGCGTCGAGTTAGTTGAACAATCAGCCAGCCAGCCAGCCAGCCGGTGGTCCACCAACCAACGATGGTCGTGAAAATCTACATATCGGGTATCAGCGGCAACAAGGAAGTGAGTGAGACGCGGCCTGTGTGATAAGCCGATCTCGCGATGCTTTATAACGAGAGAGAGAGAGAGAGAGAGAGAGAGAGAGGGAGAGAGAGAGAGAGAGAGAGAGAGAGAGAGAGAGTATGCTACACATCGGCTGAACTCTGACACCGCGTCTGCATCGGGCGGCAGTCGTCGTCGTCGTCGACGACGACGACGACGACGTCGACACTGTATCGGGTTACAACTAGAGAAAACTATTTGTATCGGGCACGCTCTCGCGCGCTTCCGGAGCACCCAACGATCGGGCCTGTCATTCGGGAGCGAGCGATCGGGCGGCCAACGCGAGGCGCAGCCCTCGTTGGGCTTGTCTAGCCGGAACTGCTCTCCTCGCGACGGTGTCACGCCGATTTATCAAGCCGCCCCGTCACGGTCTGTTTGCTTGGACAGATCCGGAGCAACGACTCTTGAGTCAACAAATTTGTCATACGCGTCTGAGCGCCATGCACTGTCAGCGGGATGAGCTTTCTCTCTTGATGATGTTTCAAATCTATCATAGATACTTGTTGAAGACACTGATACTGGCGTATCATCAATTTGATGGTTGCTATCATTCGTATATGATATTTCTTTCGGTCATTTGACAGTTTGACAAAGATCTTTCTTATAGAAAGTTGTAGATAGCTGCTTGTAGTCAGCTGGATGAGTCCATTGTATACACATATACTTTTTCTCCCCCCCCCCCCAGAGACAAAGATAAGTAGCTCTGACTCGAATAGAAATTTAGCCATTGTACAAAGGGGAAGATCTAGTGTGTGCTGTGAACCGGTGATCAGTGTTAAAATTTGTATTTGAATCATTGCTCCCTGTGTTTGCAGCCTGCTTCTCACTCCTAATCGCTTGTAAATATGTCACAGGTGAAGAAGAGGCAACAGCGCGTGCTGATGATTCTAGACAGCAAGAATGTAGAGTACGAGATCATTGATATAACGGAACCGGGCAAGGAGCTGGAGAAAGAGTTCATGCAAACCAACAGCAACGCGAGGACCAACAAGTACCCATTGCCACCACAGATATTCAACGAGGATGATTATTGCGGAGTAACTGTCTCTTCCTTTGTCCTGTTTGAATTTTACTCTCTTTCTCTGTTGCGTTCTGTTGAGAACCTGAGAAAACGTTATACGGGTGTATAGCGAGCGGTAGTTAAGCAATTGAAAAGATACTACGTTGCCAATCTTGCAGGACTACGAAGACTTCGATCTGGCGAACGAGATAGACGAGTTGGAGAAGTTTCTGAAGGTGACGACGGCGGTCAGCACCGCGGAGATCACTCTCGATTCAAAATCCCCGAATGACGGAATCCAAGAGAATGGGAACACTTCCAGTCGGGAGGTAACACATCATCTCCTCGTTCAGCCGTTCAGCGCCAAAAGAGTTCGGCGTTGAAAGAGCCCCGTCGACTCACTCTCGCAGCACGCGCACGCACAGTTCCTTTGTGAGAAAGTATTCGGAAGCGCCAGAGCACAGAAATAGCAATTACTATAGTCACGTTTATTGTATGACATGTGCAACGTGTGACAAAGCGCATTTTTACATGTACTATTTATAAACCTTTTGAAAGCGCAGTTGGGCCGAACGGTGAGCCTAATGATGAACGAATTAACAGCTGCTTTTGCCATTCCGTAGTAACGAAAGACCCTCCGCTTGCGCTGCTCGCGTAAAGTAATCTTCGTTTTCTTCGCGCGTACATACGCTTGTATATATATACGCGCGATGCAGCCCGATGATGACCTTGTTACTAAATTTACATTACAGTACCTACATATCTAACATTTGCAATTTGTCTCTTTCAGCCTTCCACGGACAAGGAAGCGGGTGTAGTACCCTCCGACAGGTAACTGATGCTACAGTAAACAAACACACAGGAATGCGTTAAAAAAACTCGTATTTATGTGTGTTTGTGTACACGATAGATTTCGTAAGAAAAATGTTGATCTGCCAAACGCGACGGTATAACGATATAACGATCTGCTCTAGTTTACCAGAAAGGACAACCTTAGAAAACGAGAATAAAGCATTAGACGAGTCTAAGCCAACCGAAGTAGATAGCGCCGCGAAAACCATCACCAGCGACGAGGGTGAACACGCCGAGGACAGCGGCGATAAAAACGAAGAGAAGTCCGACGACCAAGAGAAAGAGGAATAGACAAATGAAAGAGAGAGAGAGAGAGAGATACACCCATGCGAAGCTGGGGATATTCCACACAATGACATCCTTCCTTTTCCACTCACAAGCGTATTTTGCAAAGCTACGTTTATTACATTACTAAGGCTGAGTGAAGGTACTGCCAAGATAATATTCTGTATTGCGGAAAGTCTATTGAGTGAACAGTTTAAGGTGACGCATACATAGAACATACTTTTATAGAATATACTTTGTATTTTAGATGAAACGCGTCTCTTCGCCAATGTTTCTCGACAGGTCTGATTAAGTGATATGAAAGCGATACTTGTCCCTTCATATCGCTATCTTCATACGCATCCTCTCACGTTTGTTTATTATTTTGCACTGTTCCGCACCGCACACCTTCATATCTCATACATTATTGCACCTTCGCGATGACAAGATTCAAGTATACATGTATACATATTTTTCTTTTGTAACGCGATCTTTTGGTTATTGTTGCCGCGTGCAAAGCGTACAAGTAAAAAAAAAATATATATATAGAATATATATATAGCGACACACGCATACATATAATATCATTTGAGAGATTTGAGACGTACGAGAGCAAATACACACACATATATATATATATATATATATGTGTGTGTGTGTGTGTGTGTGTGTGTGTATTATAATTGGATCTTTTATATTTAAATGATTGTTACACACATGAGAAAATTTTTGATATTTATATTATACTTTAAATCAAACGTACGCAGTATTAAAGATAGTTTTTTTTTTATTTATCACAGAACTTATTCGAACATGTTTCTTTTTTTTATTGCGTTAAGATAATCAAACAGTCTTTCCAAGTATACTATAAGAGAAACTGATTTCTCGAGGTTATTAGAATAAACGCATTAGACTAAGTTAGAAAAAAAAGAAAAGAACAAAAGGAGAGATTGCTAGATTTTTATACATCAGTTTCGAATATTCTCTTTGTCCATTGTTGTCGATGACTTCCAATCTGCTATTTTCGCTTACGACAAAATTGTATAGTCGTGCATGTGATTCATACTGGCATGACATAATTTCGCTGATATGTATGTATATGATTCATGCTTACTCAACATCCAATTCCATCGAATCAGAGTCTTCGATTTCGAACGATTGTTGATTTCTAATTTATATATCTATAATGTTTATACAAATTATATTATAATATAAAATTCTAAAGAGAAATTTTTCTTACAGCTGCTACTATTGACACGGAACAACAAATCTCTATTGATATACGAGATATACGAGAAATTCTTGTGCGTGCACAAGTCTCTGAATGTGCAAATTTTGTTTCTTCTAACAATTTGTTTCGAGGGAACGGTTCCGGATAATAGCGGCAGTTGTATCGATCGAAAGGCCTATATGAATTATATTATATTATTTCGTTATCACTACTCGCGATGTTCTTCCTTCTTTCTACTATATTCGGTAACATTGTTATCTTGTAAGAATTTTTCGTCGCTTATCTATCATATAATGATACACCACTGTCATGAGAAAAGAAATCAAGCTTTACGCAGCATTTGCTACAACAAATTGCTTTGTTATACGATAAATAAATAAAATAAAAAATTATTTTTGCTATTATGATTCTACTCTTCAACATGATTCATTCAAGTCCACGATAGGTAACGTGCGCGCGTGTATTGACATATAATGTGTGGGTATCACATATTCGCCGCTGAAACGAAGGAAGAAGAATGACAAAACTTTATTCGTAGTAACAAAACGTCTTTCCTCTTATTACAAAAACGAAGGCGGTAACAATAAGAAGATTGAATATTAATGTTAAAATAAATTTTAACATATTGTATTAGAGATGTATAATCATTACACATAACCATATTTACACAAAGATAGTATTCCTTATATATGTATATGTATATACATATATACATATATATATATATATATATATCACGGCGATCACATTGTTACATGCATACAAGGATTTACCAATAAATATAATGATACAGATTTGTAAGATTCCATTTACGTATCCTCAGAGTATTTCTGTTTAACAAATCACAACATAAAATATAATACATCACCTGTGTGTGAGATATGTAAACTTGTAAATAGAGTATATGTTTACGAGACTTTCTTAACTCTATTATTTTTTAATTGCTAATAACGAGTAGTATAGATAGGATATTTAAAAATACGTTCATTAGAGCCTGACGGCAAACCTGAAACAGCAAAAATACTATACTTCTCAAATATATTTCCAGATATATACAAAATATATATTTCTCCCCTTATAACATAATATCTGAAAATAATATCTGAAAATATTACTCATGCTCTCAGATTAGAAATAATGTATGATCTGATTGACCTACGAATTATTGCGACATACATTTACTTCCTAAGCTGATGAAATTTGCAATTTCATCGAATTTATTGAGATCTGACGATAAAAATGGAACAGTAGCTAGTTCCTCAATCATCTTTCTCTGTATATTCAACTTTGTATATTTTGGTGTCTTCAATACGATGTATAATGAACGAGCCTGAAATCAATTATTATCAATATGGCTTTTGCAACATATTTCATTGAAAAAAAAAGTATTAGAAACGAAAACTTTAACAATACCTGCCAAAATTTGTTAATTATGTATCCCAGTAAGCAAAATGTTAGCTAGTATGCCAGCAGACTCGATCAGAATATTGTCAAATCCGACGTCCACTGCGTCCGTGTTAAGCTCGTGTTCTCTCCGTAGAACCTGCCAACATAACCGGATAGCAAATTGACTGATTGATTGGAAACCGAGCAAAGTCTATTGTACACTCCAATTACATGCATTTGCACGAAACGCCAGATTCTGCGTGGTTTCTGCCACCAATCTACCGGCATACTTTGTTAACAGATCCTATTATGTTTCTGCTGGAAAACTGCCAACAAGATTTGTAGCAGACACTTTGCAAAATCTGTCTCCCGAGAAATTTGGCTGTCGGCGTACAATCATTAATAAAGTGTAAGAAGAACGCTCTAATCGTGTATTTATATTTTTCCTACTAGTCGAGAATTATATCGATGTTATACAAGGTGAGCTACCTGACAGATAAAACTTAAGAGATATCTCGGTTTCTCTCTTCCTTTTTTTTTTATATTAGAGGAAAATGCGTAGAGAACAAATTGTGTGATTAAAAGGGATAAATATTTTGCGGTCATTTATCACACTTCAAATAACATGATTTATCTTTTGTACATTTTCCTCTGATAAAAAAAAAAAAAAAAGAAGAGACAATAAAGATATCTCTCTTAGAATCTAACGTTAAGTGACTCACATTGTGTATTGTTGTATTCCAAACATATCTGCAATAATCTTTACACCACTAGTAATGATATTATAAAACACATTTTGCAATTATCATTAGAGAAGATGAAAGAGAAAGGAAGAAAATGTTGTTGAATAAGTTTAACGAATAGCAAGAATCATTAACGCATTAAATTAACGCATAATCTTTATCTGACATCATTATAACAAGAACGAAAATATATACACAAAACTATACTAGATGGTACATGTTAGAACAAGTTCTAAGTACATATCGATACACTAAAAAAATAAATAAAGATAAAAATAAAACGTAGTCCAGTTTCGAGATTGCATTTATTTGTATCATATTTACTGTATTAAGTAACTAATGATCACTGTGCACATATATATGTATTTATCAATATTACACATTGATACAATATCTTTATTAAATAAATTTGCTGCTGAGATGCGAAAGATATGAAACAAACACTGGTGTAAATCAACTTATAATTTAAATAATAGCATGTATATAAACATTTCATTCAACAAGAATTTACATCACATAAATTATTGGTCTTACTGCGATATTACTGTAACTATTGAATGCAGCTTTTTCATAGGCACGTTATAAGGCAAATAGTTCAATAAGAATGCCTCAATAAGAAGAAGGCAATCTAGATGTTTCAAGAACTGATTTCACGTATTTGCAATTGGATGCACTTTGTTTAATTATTAACATAAAAGTACTAAAATTCTATGTCGGTAAACTGGACGAATAAATGGAAAAGTTATTTACTTGTTGGAAAATCACATAAAATATCATATATGGATTCTCATATTTCTATGTAAAACTTGCTACATGTAAAAGCTGCATAAACGTAGTTCCGCTGATAAAGATATCAAAGATATATAAAGTTCTATATGATACTTCTTTCAGCTTTCAGTTATTGAGCTTTAACCATTATAATTTATACTAGTTTGACTTCATAGACTGCACGTATCTGTTGTACATAAAATAGTTTCCAATGTATACAATCCCAATTGTACGTATACCGTTCTTTGTTCTTAACTGACATTAATAAGTAGTTAGAAATATCCCTTTCGCCATCAGAATATTGGTATGACAAACGTATGACCAGCAAATAAATAAATTAGGCGGTGCGTCATACTGTTAAATTTTCTCTGTATCAAATTAAATAAAATGCGTTATATCTTGTACAATACAAAGTTATTGTAACACATTTGTATCATTCCAAGTAAAAATGTGCAGAGAAAAAAATATGTATATATAATTATAAATATATCGATATGTATACTAGTGTATATTCCATTAAAAATTATATGTTAAATGCAACAACAGAGAATGAAGTGAGAAATCTTAAGATTTCTTTTTGAGAATTGAATTGTTTCGAGAATTGAATCTTGAAAAAATATCGATATAAGCATCTTGGACTCTTTCATCGCATTGCATATATGTTGAATGTTCCTTAGAGATTTGTAAAGTCATACATAAATATAATTGTTAAATCATTATAAATATTATATGTCGAGACTTTGTATAATACATTCTAACAAACTACATTTTCGTATTATGCTTATATAGACACAGTAATTTCTCATATATCAATTATGTCTGTAAAATATATATACTACAAAAAATATGGTAGATATTATCGTTAACTGTACGCACCTGTAAAATGCCCAATTATTATGCATGTATTGTTAGGAATTCGGCAATATTATACTTAGTTACGTGACTCGAGATTCATCAATGCGTATCATCAATTTCGTTATACGGAGCTTATATACGTTGGATATATTATGCATATTAACTTAACAAAATGATAAGTCAGATCTGAATATCAGAAGATAAAGAAGAAAGTGATACTATAGGTACTTTACAAAAATTATACAGAGAGCGTTCCAGTTCTCGCAACTTTATCTTTTAACCGAGAGGTTCTCTAAACAATTTAGAGTTAATTTTTCTCGAACGAAAATTTTCAGGCATCAATAATTTCTGAGATATAAATGATGAGATAAAAAAAGTGAGATTTTCTGCAAACGAAACTTTAAAACTAAACGAAACAAATAGATAACAAAATTATTAATCCTCAATTTCACATGGACTGTGATAGAAATTTTACTTCGTAGTTTTAGTTACAAAAACAAAAAGTTGACAATTGAAAAGTCACCATGGATAATGATCTCTGTAGACATTTTTTATGCGAGAAAATTAACTCTAAAATGTTCGGTAAACTTGTCGGTAAAATTGAAGTCATGCAAAGTCGACACCCTGTATAATATTCGTTAAACACATGCTGTAACTCTATGTAACTGGTTTGGTCTTTTCTCACTATATATTTATATACAAATATAATACACATGCATATATACTGTGCATATGGAAAACTTGACATTACGTATGCACCATAATATTTAAAAGTACTTAGGAATTTAATGTCAGTTAAGATGCCTTTCCCTCTCCTACCCTTTCCAATAATAGCATTTTCAACAGTAAAATTTTACGAAATAATAAGGAAATAATTTCAGAAACAACGATAGATTGTAATGTCAAGCTTTTAAATAATCTATCAAATTATTCATTTTTTCATTGGGACGGTGATTCCTATATTTACGAAATGTATGTATGTGTGTGTGTGTGTGTATATGTGTGTATGTATGTATATATACGTATGTACTCAATATCAGAATTAATAGCTATTACCGCATATGATATTTAGCTTATCTTAATATATTTTATGCAAATACTTGATGTATCACACAGAATTCATTAATATATCTATAGTATCTATTGTAAACACAAGAAAATGATTAGCAAAATTTATTGAAAAATTGTTGTCTACCAATGATGCCACTGTGTAAAAATATCAATGATATTGTTGATTTCAATGAAATATCAATGATTTGATTAATTCTAAGTACAAGTAAAACAAATATATATCTTACAGTCTTATTATACATAGAGAAAATGAAGAGAATGTTTACAGCTAGTAAACTTCACAACAAGTGTCTAATTTGGACTTTTTCATAATAAAATTCACAGTGTATAAATCAAATCTGTCTGTATGACAATATTTATAAATTCATTATATTAAACTACTGTTATTTTTTATATGTTTGTATGCAACCTCAGATATATATAAAAAAAGAAAAGAAAATATATAGTATGTTAAAATATAATTAAGTACTTGAAGAATTAAATATGGACAATATTAAAACGCACACACAGAATGTCTCTTTGAAAATATCTCTATCACACAAGTTAAGTTTCTATGAAATACTTGTTTTAATAAATATAATAAATAATTAATAAATTTAATAAATATAATAAACATTGGAAATTTACTTACGTATAATTATCATTTTATGTAGCATATAATCATTCTCTTTAGTAATTTTCTCTTCGTTTATTATGTATTGCGTCTGTCTTAATATATTATGCAGTAATGAAATATGACTAATAATAATAATAATAATAATAATAATAATAATATATAGATATATATATATGATTAATCCGTACCAAAGTATTTTTGTCCAAAATGATTTGGTGCGACAGTATGAATCTCCGACGTTAAGATCTTCATCTGTAAAGAAAGAGAGAAGGTAAAATGTATCTGTGACGAATACACATTGTTAATAACATGCCTAATGTAATATTTAATATACATATATAAATATATGGCAAAACAATTACCTTAGGGAAGGCAGTGACTAGAGACTTGGCTGCAATTGGTGTACAGAACAAATTCGACAGGATAATATTTTCTTCAAGCACATTGTGTTCTTTTAACACAGCTATTGCCTTGATAACAGTGTTTCCAGTACCTATGTATGCATACGATAAATATATTTTGTATATAATCATTTCATCTTCAATATACAAACAAAATGTATTATTGTAACATAGACACTCATCAATACTTACTCATTATTGGATACATCAACAAGACTTTCCTTTCAGATATATCATCAGGGAACTTGGCATAAACTACTCTAGCTTCGTGTGTATCTGCATTACTTTCAACTAAAATCTTACCAATTCTAATACTACGACAGCAATCTCTAAGACCCTACAAAAATATTGCTCCATGTGGATTACACAAGTATTTACACAAATATATATTTTACATGATTTCAGTATACTCAGTCTTGGCATATGGCCTTATACCTGTTCCATTGCTTCGCCGCTCCTTACTATGGACACGCCACAATTTCCTTTCTGATACTTTAAACCTTTATACTGAGCACCAGTTGGAGTTGTTACTACGCATTTTGAAAACGGCAGTTGATTCAAACTCTCTTCAATAACTAGCCTGATCTAAAATATTTGAAAAGAGAAGTCTATATATCGCAGCCTTTGTTCTTACATATTACAGACAGTTAATAATCGCCACATGTGCATGTGACAATTATCTGGACTCTTTCCAGTGTCTCTTTCCATGTCAATCTAGATATCTTTGTTCACAAACAAGCAACTTTACTACAATATATTTATATATATATATATATATATCAAAGTTGAACATGTCTTACCAGGCGATCAGCATAGAACTTGAAATCACTCCTTGTAGTATTCCTATAAAATATGGATACATTGAGTCTATTGATAAATAATATACGCCATTCTTCTCAATATCTATCAATCTTTGGTACTTCATTCCACACACTCGTATATATACATACACCAACACACAAGCAAGTATAAATTAAAGAGTGTCTGAAACTGTATCTTGCCGACAAACAAGCATGTGGAATTAAAAGCTAAAACTTTGAGACACATTTATTTCCGCCTGCGAATGTGAATACTAACATGAAAATGTTCTACTCACTGGAACACGCATGCTACTTACTTGTCCCTTAAAATGGTTTGCAACTCTTTCACTTGGTTGTTGCAAGGTAGAATCTTGAGATTTGCTCCGTATTCGTCGACGATGTCCTGGTTGTCCTGGTTCAACATATTCTTCGTCGCGTTGTCCGTGCTCCCCATGATGGATGCGTGTATTTAGTAATTGGAAAAACACCGGGAACCGACTCAGGTTACTTTGTCATCGTCTGCAATTGCTCGCACGCGGCTGCAAGCGTCGACAACACGTCACGTGACATCTAGTATCTCAACCGCGCTGAACTTTCGAACGATCGTTCAAGCAGCTTCAATGTAACAATAACAAAGTATCAAGCAACGATCGGTCTCTCCTCGGTGACGCTCGTACATCTTGTGCATCGAAACCATCCCCGGTGTTTCCGTGCGCTTCGAATCGCCAGGTTTCTCAACAAATAAACGAATCATCGTAGAACGGCGAACCCGAGCGCGCGAGTGCAGCGCCATCGATATATATCGAACACCTCAGAGCCGCGAGTTCAGTTCTCCATTGCGGGACGGACGCGGCGAGAGTCGCGGTATTCGAAATTCACCTCGTGCGACCCCGGCGATTTCGACTCGTCCGCAGACTCTATCGTCGTCCGGGAGCACCGAAGGCAAATTTCGCGCTTTCTCGCGGCTTTCGCGGAGAAATGTCGCCGGGCGACCGCCGGAAGCGAGAATGTCGCGACAAAATGCCGAACGCCGATCGGCCATGACGACCCGGGAGGTTGAGCGATCCCGGCGATTCCCACTTGCCAAAAGTGCCTCACGTGCGAATTATCGTCATCGGGGGTGTCGAAGGTGAGTTTCAAAGAGCTCGTCATGAATGAAATATCGCGAAATTTCCGCCGAGTACGTCTCTCAACACTCCAATAACCTTCACCGCCGCGAAGTGAAATCGGCCGGAGTTGCCGTGCAGATTCCTCGATACTTCGATACTTCGAGTTTCTCAATCGTTGCGATGTTCAGTCGCTAAGGGAAGGTCGCCCGAAGAACCGTCTCGTGCCCGCCGAGATTTTGAGCTGGTCGACTGTACACTGATAGAAAAATATAGTTGAATTAACTATAATCTCACTATATATTTATATTTTATAGTTCATTTTGGCGTCAACCATATTTTTTTATAGTTCGTGGAACCTGCGAAATATAGTAGAATAAACACAAATATATACCCAGACAGCACACGGATGTCCACTGGACGTCCGTTATATGTCCATTTTTTTAACAAAAGACGTCCATAGGACGTACGTTTGTCACAACTTTGGACATGGGACGTCCTACAGGTCCGATGTCCAATAAGGACATTCTCGTTACGTCCAATCGAACATACGGACATAAACTGGACGTGAAACGTACATCCACTGGATGTCCGGTGCTGTCTGGGTAGTCAATGATTGTCTGAAATAATTGTTTAGTTACTTTTGCCACATATATGGTAATTTCTCATTCACAAATATAGTGAGATTTAATATTCATATAGTTACGTCTGTCATCAAATATTCGGGTAATATTGACTATATAAAAGAGTTACTTTTACCTACCATTTTATATTTGTATCCATACAATAATTTTAGTTTAACTTACTATAATTCTTAGTAAAAATATAATATGCTTGGTTATATTATGCCTATATCGTAATTATTACCGATACTATAAATATGATATTTCGGACTATAATTTAGTTACTATATCATTATAGTTCCAAATATCATATACTTTTCTCTCAGTGTAGTCTTTCGTTGGCCTTTGAGGTCGTTGGATGTGGTTTCCGTCACTGCGAAATTACGCTTAATCTTTAGAGGACCGGCATTTTTCTTTCAAAATTTGCAATTTTTTTCGCGGGAAATTTATATATATATATATATATGTAACCATTATATCGCGTAGAGTTTTCGAGTTTGTTAGTGGCTCCTATAGGAGTTACTCCGGTCCGGAACGGAACGGCCAAAATAAAAAATTCTCAAAATTTGGATCTTGGCATTTTCAGGGTTTTTTCATATCGCTGATCATCATTTTGATATCAGATTATCGAAATTTTATAAAGAAAGACGATTATTTACCTAAAATAAGTCTGTATTACTATAAATAATCTCATATGGTAATAAAACTTTCCTTTAACATAACCCAGAGCTAACGACGTGGGCGTAGAAAGTTATGTAGCTCCTTTGGTTTTTTTATACTTTTTGTTATTTAAAAATTTTTCTAATTTTTTATTCTTTTATATTTTTTTAAATTTTGGTTTTAAAAAGTAATGAAAATTATTTTATTTCAAAAACTATTTTTCTGTATTTTTCATACTTATTTGTTACTTTTAGAGTGATTGTTATCACGCACTGTGCGCAATCGAAACTCTAATAGTGTTGTGTGCTGATTTTATATAATTCTGAGAGAAAGTGGGTCTATTATAAATAAAAACGTACTGAGATTGCAAATTACTATGCAGTTAAAATGTATACTTATTAATAAATGTTTATTTACAAGTAAGGTAAAAATCACACGAACACATACGCAAATATATTTATAGAGCACATCAACATCGACATAAATGCATAAATAACTATAATATAACCTTTAAGAAAACACTGAATGCCGATTTATCCTATAGGAGCCACCCCGATCCTCTAAAGGTTAATTTTTGTCTATTGTGACCATAGACATATAATAAGTAGACCGTGCATTTGGCCGAAAAGTCGTCAATATTAGAGAGAGAGAGAGAGAGAGAGAGAGAGAGAGAGAGGGGGGGGAGGGAGGGAGGGAGGGAGAGAGAGAGAGAGGGAGGGAGGGAGGGAGGGAGAGAGAGAGAGAGAGGGAGGGAGGGAGGGAGAGAGGGGGAGAGAGAGAGAGAGAGATAACATTATATTGCATGTACAGAATTCGAGGATGAAGAAACGGATCCATACAGCACAAAAGTTGCAGCAACATTGCTGCAATATTGCAATGTTGCCGCAAATTTTGTGTAGGGAGGGAGATGAGATGAGACGCTTGGTAGGACGATACACCAAAGAAACGTGTCGTGTTTTGTAAAAAGTTTTTTTCTCTTTTATTTCGTAATGATAAAACTACTTTCGTGTTGTATGTATAAAACTACTTTCTAACTTTTCTGTGTTTTGTGAATAGCTATCCTCCTCTACGTCGGGAACGAAATATTCTCAGCAGTAACGTGCGTCGGGCGTCTCTCGTCTTTTTCTCGTCGCGGTTCAACCAGACGACTGGTGTTCCACGCGGTTTGATGATGCCGAACATGCGAATGATCGGAGCCGTCCCTCGTCGAGCGTGTGACGACGCGGCGTTTCGATGCGCGCGGATCGTCACACGCCACGAGCAAGAGAGCTCACAGCTTCCTTACAATATTCTTACAATACATCGGGTCGTGCAATTTCCGCGAGATCGCCGAGTCAGTTGACGGCTAGAAAATTCCGACGGTATCTCACTTTCGTTTCCCCTAATAGAATTTCTCGCTCTGCGTTCGATAGTATAATATATCGATAAGAAATACTATACGTCTTGAGTATCCGCAATATTATCTCTAGGATACAATCTGCGTTTAATATTACACTGCTGTTTGGCCCTTTTACGTCCGGTGTTACCCCCCTCCGCCGTTTATACTTACAATCTTCTTTCTTACAACGTGTACATTTTTGCGTATGTGTGTATATATATATATATATATATTTATATATATATGTATATATATATATATATTTATTTATATAATTGTCATTGCAGTCTGTCGTATTTAAGCTCTTCGTATATCGTATATAATCCGATTCGTTTTCGCACAGCTTCCTCCGAATATTGTCATGATTGGCAAAAAGATTTCTCTCGTCTCTTCGAATCTTCGTAATTGTTATACAACAAACGCGACGCGTATGTCGTTACTCGCGACGACGACGTCGCGCCGCACCGGAAACGGAAGACTGTATCCATCGTAGCGGTTCTTTCTTGACGACGGTAGTCGGGAAAAAGAAAAAAAAGAACGATAGAGAGAATTGAATCGTCGCGATTAGGACAGAAGAGAGAGAGAGAGAGAGAGAGTGTCTGTGTCTAGCTTCTCTCGCACACAATAAAGTTAAGCTATGCTCTTTTATCGCGTGTCTAAACGCACACAAATGAGAACAATTGTATCACTGAGCTACAGCAGAAGGAAGTGTCTCGTTAAAAAGTATATAGAAATAGCTCTCGTCAAACATAAACATAGAACAGTCACTTCTTTTTTAACAGGCAAATATTTATCTTCTCTCGTATAACTCTACCTTCGTACTAAGCTTCGCTTAAGCCGACTTTTATATGCTTTACAAGATATATATCATCATTCATCGCGCGCTCTCGCATTCTACTCCGCTCCTCCTCTCTCCTCTCCTTTCAGCTCCGCTCTCTCTTTCTCGTATTCCTCACGCATTCCGCACACACGCACTCGTCACAACAAAATATGATTCTTTCTCTTTATATTATATTACAGCGCGTTTTATTTTCGTTGTATCTCTACAAGTAAATATAATCAAACTAAACTGTCTGCATTGAAACATTTTAATACCAATTCAACATTCCGAGTCGTCCAGAATACTGGCTAAGACTTTGCTTTCGTTACATTATCGCTATTTATTGTGCATGATGAGAGATGTACAGGCGACTATTATCGGCGACTTCGATATTTTACAAATGTACCTAATGAATGTTTTGCAAAGGAAGTCGTACTCTTTAGGTAATCACGCGAATGATATGTGTGTGCGTGTGTTTGTGTGTGTGTGTGTGTGTATGTATATGTGTACGCATATACATTGAGGGGATGATAAGTTATTTTCTAATAAAATAGGTAAAAATTGTGGGAAGACGGTGTTCTTACAAGTTATCTTTAGTTATATTAAGTATTGCAAGTTAACAAGTATTTTTATGTGCCTCAGGATGTCCCTTACATATTCTCCGCGGGTCGTTGTCAACAAACAAAAAGAGACTAAGCGACTGTAGTAGAAAGAACGATGTGCTAATATATGACAGTCTCATTAAAGTACCAACGACAGAGATCAACGTTCGTTTCCGCACACAAGCTTATATAGCTGCATCTTTCGAATTGCGTTCACAGTGCATTTCTTTCAAAATAAGCATTCTTATTTTTGTGATTGCAAATATCTCGTGTATATAATCTTCACGCTTGAATAATAAAAATTACTTAAAAGTCAATACGACATCGCACATCAGAATCTAATAATCTAATTCTGTAAACACGAATTTTAAAATTACATTTTCCCAGATAAAGCGTCCGCCAAAGGTCCGTATTGCATCTGGGAAACGTTTGAGAAATAAAATAATAACAATAAAGCAATAATAAAAGAGCGATTTACCAACTGGTAACTTCGATTTCACAACTTTACCGTTATTACGGATAATAAATTTATACTTATCGATATTTCGCATAAAAAAATCTAACAAAATATAAAATTTAATAAGATTGCCGACAATGTATTGAAAGAAACGCAAATTGATATTTCTCCTCGAAATTATATCTTACTCATATATTACATGCAAAATATATATATATATTTTAATATATTTATAAATGTGTAAACAATGTATCTTCCGCAGTCTCTTTTGCGCAGCCAGCTGAACAAATTTTCCAGTTGTCAAATCATAGAAAAGAATTTCCTGCTTTCGCGTCTACTTGTATTCGTTTCGTAATTTTGTTTAGCAAATTTGTCTCTTTGTCTCTTTATGCGTCAGTGCATAGTGCAAGGTACATTTCAAAATAACACATTTCTCTCGATACTCGAGACTGAGGAAGATACATTTGATTTGATTTGCCGTTTAAGAATTTCTAGAGTTTTCTCTAATATAATAAAAGTACATAAAAACGTTTCTACAAATAAAAGTAGAGCTATATAAGCCGATTGCTTTTTGCTCTGAAAGACACGTTGCTCCAAAAGACAAAAAAGATAGCAGTTATACTCAGCTACACTCAGTGTTAACATCACGTAGGAAAATTTTTATGACATTTGCGCCAATCGAAACTCGTCGAATTTTCGTTTCCACCGGCGGGCTGTTAAAACATATAAAGAGAATAAAAGATGTATTTTGTGTGATCGATATAAGCCACATATTACACGGTCGATACCCTAACTAAGCATATGAATTAATTACTCCAAGATTAACTATAAGTAGATAATTGGTCGATTCATGTATTACGTTTTAAGTACACTTTCATAACCGGGATTATAAGGCATGGCTATGCTCTGTTCTTAAGTAAGCGCAGAACGATACAAAATACTGGTTGTTCTATTATAATCGTTAGAGGTCAACTCTGTCTATAGAATCGCGCGGGCCACTGTAAAGCTCGCGCTCGAATAGCTTACATTCGCTTCCTATTATAGAATTTCAGCATTTTGATGCCATTTGATAGCATCTCCGTATTTATACACTTATTACTTATCATCGTAATATATCGTATCGTCAATAGTAAATGCTTTTTTGTGTCTCCGACAATTAACACTTTCAGTCTCATTTGCATTTACACGTACACTGAATTCCTCCTCGTTTCAGCATACCATACCGTATATAGGCCGCTTCGAAATTCGTTTGTTTACGAAAACGAAAAGAAAGAAAAAGAAAACGGGAAGAGAAACAGAAATGCGTACACGCGCACGACCTGTATGGAAGCGCATTCCGATGTGTGTAAAAGGAGCTCCTTTTTTTACTTTATCATTATCAGACTGATACGCCTTAGTTACGTCTGCGTTCCGAAGTGTGCTGACGGTATTGCCGATTCTACATGTCAGCGTCGCTCACGTTCATTTGCCATAGCTAAATACTAGACAATTCTATTGATAACAAGTTATTAACAGTGAAAGATACCACTAATAATAACAGTGTATCACTGTATAGCTAATGCAGCATAGCTATGCGAAATGAACGTTCACAGTTGCGGCAATAACGATACTTTAGAATCGATTGATATCTATCAGTGCCGAGTCAGCACGCTCGACTCCGGAATGCGGCCTACGAAAAATGCAGTTCCCTCACCAAATCACCAATATAGTTTAAGACCTTATGTCCTCCGCCTTTCCTCTTATTTCTTCTTCTCCAGTATGGTTTATGTGCTACTATATCCGATTCCCTAAGCTTATGGATCCTATAAGCGTGGAATCTGAAAAAAAAAAAGGAGAATGTCAATCGATGTCGGTCTGATTCATTCGCGCACACAACTCGGCGTATCTCACGACGGTTATCTCAACATTTTGACGGCCGTTCTCTTTATTCCGTCTTATTATAGTTATCGGCTTATCGAGAAGTATTTGCCGATAACAGTTTATAATTGTGGCATTACACGGGTTGTATAAAAATAGATTTGTATCTCTATTGTGTACGAAGGGAATATTTCTCTCTCTTTAGATACCGCAGACTAGCAGGCTTCTCTCTCGGAGCCTGCCGATGACGAGCGCGACGATTTGTCGGCCTTCAAAGTGTTGAGCTACCACCCCAACCACGTTGGCGCGAGGTAACTCACGCGTCACTCGTCGGCCGTTCGTCGGCCAAACTTACGGCATTGCTCACTTCGTTGAAAATTCAGTGATCTCCCCTCAACAATTCCATCAGAAGGTTAAACGAGCTGCCTTCTCCTTCGGCGCGTTTCTCACTGAGCAATTCTTTACCCACTTGGCATGTTCTCTGTAGATCTGGAATTCTCAATAACAGCTCGCCAAACTTGGCGGGCATCTCCGGGTACCTCGCGATCGTATATTGCTGCAGTGCTTGAAGGGCCTTCTCCTGAGAAGCTCTGACCTTCTCAGGCTCCTTTAACTCGCTCGTGTCGGAGGTCAGCAACACAATCACCTGTCACGATGCCAGAGAAGAATTTTCATATATTAACACGCGTATTCGCCGCAAAGGCGACGTCGCAAAGTACTACGAGACTCACCTTCATCGCCACATATTCGTACTGATCCACTCGAAGCCTTCGCAGATTGTTGGTGAAAGCGAGCATCCTCTCGATACAGGTCGCTAAACCAAGCTGCCTCGCTTGCTCTAGAGTGATCGACTTGCCGAGAGACACCCTTATTTCACCGGGGGTGCCCATGCTGCGGAAGCAGCATGAGAAAAGCAGCAATTCGCACCAGGAATTAATCAATAAGCAGATCTGATCATCAATGGAGATATTCTTGAAGAGCGGCAGGCTCTTGCACCACTTGACTATCTTATAGAGCCTGTGGTCCGCAATGTTACACAGATTGGACACTTGCGAGTCTGAGTGTTGCGTCGAATTGCTGTTGGGATTACTGCCGATCTGCGGATTGCTGTTGTTCGCGGTGTTACCGTTCGTGGAGCGTTGATCACCCGGGCCGGCGGAGGTCGAGACGCCAGTAGGGCAGGGTGTCGTGGAGTCTCCTCTTCTGTTGTTAGCGTCGACGTTAGCGCCGAAGTCGTTCGACGGACATTCCACCGCACCTCCGCTGTTACCGGCGCCTATGCCGGCCGCAGGTCCGCTGACGGTCGACGCTGACCCACTTCCGGCTCCACCCAGCAGCATACTGGAGTCACTAGCGGTGGAGTTCCTCGCGATGTTCCCGACGGACCCTCCGCCGCTTATCCGGTCGTTATCATTGTAATGCCAGAGATGCTCCACGTCCATGATATCTTGCAACAATTGCGGCACCACCTGCATCTTGTGAGAATGATTCGAATGATGTCGAATAGGGTAATGGTGCTCGCTGCCGGCCGGCGCCGGGCTGCAATTACCAGTCGTTGTGAGTTTCTCGCTGGTCATGCCGCCGGCAGGGCTCCCAACGAGGTTCGCCGGTAAAGTGTAGGTGCACTGATACGTGCTCCTTCCACCTCTCGTACGATCCTCCCTGATCGCCTCGAGCTTCATACCCATGTTCAGGCACTTGTCGAAGCGGCAGGCCGGGCACTTCTTCCTCGTGGTCACGGTGACCGGACAACCTGCGCCTCTAAGGCACACATAGTTCTTGCGATTCTGGACGGTGCGCTTGAAGAAACCCTTGCACGATTCGCACGAGAAGATACCGTAATGGAAGCCGCTTATCTTATCACCACAAATCGGACATGGGCTGTTTATCAGCTGCTGCCTGGTGGAAATACCGGACGGCGCCGACGGGATCCTGCAGTCCTCCTGGTCTTCCGCAACAGGATGTCCATCTGGGGATAGCTCGGACCCCGGCAGAGAAGAGGTCGAATAATGGTGGCTCGTGACTGCTGCTGACGCCGGCAAGTGTAACGGACTACCTTGCGCGACTTGATGATGTTGCGAGTGTGAGTGCGGATGACGTGGCTGTTGGACGGGCGAGTGAGTTGGCGGGCTGAGTGAACCGTAGCTGTAGCAGCTACTGGACGCATCGGAGTTATTCCTCGAGAGAGAATGCGACAGCGAGAGCGACAGCGAGGAGGTCGAATTGTTGAAGCTGTGCCGGGAGAGCGACAACGACGACGAGGGTATCGGGCTGCCGGCACCTAAGGCGGAATGTCGCGCCGCATGAGGACTCTGCGTCGGCGAGCTGAAGACGCTGTACGCGGAATGAATAGCCGAATCTGGCGAAGGTACCTGCGGCGAGATTTGGCGGGATGAGCAACAGCGCGCGGACACGTGCAAGGATACGTACATCTATGGCGACGACAATGTTCATGCACGGTCCTGCGTGCACGTAGGCTTATATTTGTCGTACGACAATCTTTTCGAATACGTTGATTGGTTAACAAACAGAATATTTCTAGGATTGCTCTGCGTACGCCAATCAATGTATCCGAAGAGCTCGTCGTACGACACATGTAATATTAGCCGTGGTCGTTTGCTATTGGCTCACCTGTGACCTAGTGTGGCTGTGTTTCGTCAAATGATGTCGTGGATTTAGAACGGGACTGTGATTAGGTGTCGAACTATTGTATCCACCGAGCAGTTTACCAACGAGCAGCGGCAGGTCATTCTGCTGAGTCTGCTCGAGGGTCTCGATGGTACGCTGCTGTTGTTGCTGCTGTTGCTGCTGCTGCTGCTGCTGCTGCTGCTGCTGTTGCTGCTGCAACTGTTGGCTATGCGTCATTGGCAGCCCGACGTCGTGGAACGATCCTATTGTGAAGCCCGTGCTAGATCGGAAATCTGGCTCAGACTTGATCTGAAACTTCTGCTCCATAGGTTCGGGACTCGTGCTGCAAACTTGAACCCCTTCCATAGAGATTTCCTTGTGATCGTCCTGAAATCAATCGCAGTGTCGGTCGGTTAGGTTCAGGAATAACGCTTTACTTGCCGCGCGATATCGTTGTAAAACTAATTTTCCGCTGAAACTTGAACGGTAGAGAAATTCTTTTGATCGAAGTCACCGGAGTTCAGTCTGAACGACCAAGATCTCTGATGGATTCGAACAGAACTCTTTGGTCTTTTCAATCGGGGTTTCTGAACCATTCGTACTTTTCTTTTTTTTCTTTTTACTAGAAAACTGGTTCGTTCAACCGAACATTTTCCCTCCCGCGTATTTTTAGTGATACTTATACATTTTCATTTGCTTGATATTCGATAACGGCGTTATTTTCCTCGTCCTTATCAGGTTTCCACATTTGTCAGGCAATGATTCATCGTTTTCTAAACTTTCGCAAAGTCAAATTTCGATTTAGCATCGTCATTCTAATGGGATTTCAAGTGGGATGCCGACGCTACTGAAAATAAAGCCCCTTCGCTTTGCGAAATGAGAATTCCCCCGAACGCGTCCTTCGCCTCCTTGGAAAGTGGCCCTTGTCCCTTCGCGAAAGCGAAAAGAGAAGCCCTACCTGATCGGTAATTGTATTCGAAGACATTTCCTGGTCCGACAGTTCCCCCTCCCACGACATGGGTCTTTCGGGTTGCTGCTGCGAGTTGTCGTTGCCGTCGCAACATCCGCCACCGTCGCCGTTCGCATCCCCGTCGCCGATCTTGTCGCCGTTTTGGCTGCCGGACACGTCGCGCTTCTTCTTCGAGCGCAGGTTCACGCCCCTGAAGTCGATCTTGCTGATCTCGCCGTCGCTATCCTCCGGGTCGTCGATGTCGGCCGCGTTCGCCGCGAGGATGCCGATCCCGATGCCGATGTTGTGCGGGCCGCTGCTCGCGCAAATCCCGGACGTCGGGACGGCGTTCGCGTTGCCGCATCCCAGCACGGAGGTCGATACCACCGACACCGTCACGCCGTTCTGTCCTCCCAGATATTTACATACTCCCTTATCTAAAATCACCAGTGGACAGTTCAACTGTCTCCGCAGAATTTATTTGTTCGCCTGTAATTTTATTATTCTGCCAGACTGTGCGCGTGTATGTGTACGTATATATATGTGTGTGTGTGTGTGTGTGTGTGTGTGTGTGTGTGTGTGTGTGTGTGTGTGTGTGTGTGTGTGTGTGTGTGTGTGTGGTTTTTGCAACAACAGCTTTATTGCGACAAAATGAAACGTTCGAACAATTTAGTCTCCCGATGTTGGTGTAAAGAAACGCGTGCACAACCCGAGCAAAAAAATTGTCAGGGCCATTCTCATGAAGTATAAGGCTCCGATAAGGCTGAAGGTGGAATGCCCTGAAATAAGGGATGTCTCAATGTTACTACATCAAGTCCTAAGATGGACCTTTTAGGGATACCTTAGATTTTACAAAATAAGGCTTTGATAGAGAAAGCTGAGAAGGGCCTTGGAAGGATTTTTTAGGGATGCTTTAGATGTATAAAATCAAGTATTTTATAGAAAATTAATAAGATCCGAAGCGAGTTAATAAAATTGTCATAGTTTAGTACTGTTTTAGTAGATACGCTCTGTGTGGTTCTTTTAAAGATTTTTTTCATTATACCGCAATCAAGGACAAATTTTACTAGTCTGATTAGTTTTATTATTCATTAGTTTATTACTCTTCCAAGAATTTTTCTAGTATTGCTTTCGTTTGGAAATGCAGCTAACTGTAATAAAAAAACAGTAGTAGGATTTTTATGTATAAAAAATGCTATATTCTTAAAATAAAAAAATTCTTGTATACTAACAAGTTTATAAAGAAATAAACAAATTACAATCTAAATTTCTTGGAACGAAAAGAACGAATCTCTTTTTACTCAAGCAGTAACAAAAATATTTCCTTAATAAGGCTCTACTTCAATATTATCTTATAAGGACCGGTTAAACGTTATTTGTTACACATCTTGCAGGACCCTTGTCTTTCTATCCCTAATAGGACCCGATTAACGTTACGGAAAAATAATCAGGCCCTTACCAGAGAGTCCTATTAATTTTTCTACTCGGGAAAGTGCGTGTGAATTGCACAATTGTTTCAACTGTAACGCTGTAACAATTTACGCAAACAAGATACCGACGAATCCTCCCTAATAAGAGGCCCATTACGACGCATCTCGTACGAGGAATATTAGCCCGGGAAGAAACAAAGTTAACGTTAAAGGAATTCTCTCTCTCTCTCTCTCTCTCTCTCTCTCTCTCTCTCTCTCTCTCTCTCTCTCTCTCTCTCTCTCTCTCTCTCTCTCTCTCTCTCTCTCTCTCACACGGTGAAGCGGGATAATTACCGTCGTGCATCTCTTGGCTGGGGGGCACGTTAATAGTCGTGATGGATACGTTTTTCTCCGTCTCCGTGGGGCGGCTCGGGCTCATCGTGCAGGATACTCCGATGCAGGACGAGGGGCAACAGGTCGCGGACGAGATGGTCGAGGTGGAGGAGCTCGTCGAGCTGGACGCGGCGGCGCAGGAGACGGAGACGGACGCGGAGCCTGGCGGCGCCGATGCGGAGGACGAGACGACGGCCGCGGTGGACTTCCAGGTCTGCGTGGAAGACGGCCACCAGCCGCCGTCCGACCCGGGCCCTGGTCCTGGGCCCTCGCTGGGCCCGTTTTGCTCCGACATTCTCAGCTGGTCGCGCTGCTGCTGCGCGGCGCTGCTGCTGCTGCTCGTGGTACGACGACTCGTGGCCTCTCGATCTCCGCGAAAGCGTACAGCATCCTTACGGCGGACCCCTCCTGCTCACGCGCCGCCGCGGATTATCGGTAGCTGCGTGTGTGCGGCCTCTGCACGGCGATGCCGATCTCTCTCTCTCTCTCTCTCGCTCTCTCTCTTTCTCTCTCTCTCGCTCTTGCTCGCTCGCTCGCTCGCCTCTCGCTCGCTTCCCGCAGTCGCTGAAACACGCAGAAGGAGGGAAACGTGTAGTGTCTCGTTAGTTAGCTTCGCTCGGTTAATAGCGAAATACCGAGTGACTAAAACTTAATCTCGGCGAAACGCGTTGATCGCGCGATGAGCCGAAAGCCTCGCGCATCGAGAAAGTAAGACGCGGCGGCGAGGAAAGCGGAAATTGCGCGAATTCATGTGAGATTCGTCACGCTCCCCCGCTCAGCACGACCCGCGCTCAGATCGCGGTGGCTCGAGAGGACGATCGACGAAGTGCGAAACTCTCTCTCTCTCTCTCTCTCTCTCTCTCTCTCTCTCTCTCTCTCTCTCTCTCTCTCTCTCTCAGCTGGAACAAGGAATTAATTCCTTGTCATCCGAGCGCTTTGACGATAACACTGTGCTGAAGTTCGATCGAATTTGCAATCCACAGTCGAGCGTTGTAACGCGTCTCGCTTCCGCTCTCCGATATATACGTATAAATAAGTACGAGAAGTACGCGATAAAGTATAAGCGTTACATGAATCCGCGGGTGAGTCAATACCGCATGACGCGCGCGGAAAACATTGGCAACGTGTCGCGGGCAAAATTTGTCGCGCGACGCGCGATCGTCCGCCGAAAATCCACTCCGGCAGGCAAACGCGCGCGACGGAGTCGCGCGCGCGCGCGTGCGCGCGAACGCTCACGCACACTGTCGTGTCTTTCGCGCAAGGTTACGCCGATGGTCGCGCCGCAAGGCCGGCCCACTTCCGGTCCCGCGGAACCGTCGAACGACCTTCGCGCGGAAACGCACACGTTCACTCACGCCCGCACATGGCGCGAACGCGTGCCCGAGACGAATGCCCGGCAGTGGTTCGTGATTCCGCTTCGATCCTTGGAGAATCGATCTCGCCTCTCGCTCTCCTGGTCCTTTCTCTCTCTCTCTCTCTCTCTCTCTCTCTCTCTCTCTCTCTCTCTCTTTCTCTTTCATGACCACCCGACCAACCGATCCCCCAGGATCTTGACTTGTTCTCCCCCCGCGGCCCGTCGGCCAGGGCTTCTATTTTCGAGCTATCTCGAGATAGCTGTCTTTTTTTATCTACACACAAGTTCTCGAAAATGAGAAGGAAGGAAAACGGGAGGAAGGATATATTCCGAATGGATCGGATTTAAGTGGAAATACATTTTCCCCGCACTGAGAGAGAAGTATATGATATTTGGAACTATTATAATGATATAACAACTAGATTATAGTCCGAAGTTCATCATATTTGTACGTATTAAGTAGTAAGTAATAAGTAGTAAGTATTACCATAATGTCGGTAATGATTACGATATAGGCATAATATAACCAAGCATATAATATTTTTACTAAAAATTATAGCAAGTTAAACTAAAATTATCGTATGGATGCAAATATAAAATGGTAGGTGAAAGTAGCTCTTTTGTACAGTCAATATTACCTGAATATTCGCTAAATAATGGCAGATGTAACTATATGAATATTGAAATCTCACTATATTTGTGAATGAGAAGTTACCATATATGTGGTAAAAGTAACTAAACGCAATTATTTCAGACGATCATTGACTATATATTTGTGTTTATCCTACTATATTTTGCAGGTTTTCACGAACTATGAAAGTATGGTCGACGCCAAAATGAATTATAAAATATAGTGAGATTATAGTCAATTCAACTATATTTTTCTATCAGTTTCTATCAGTTTTATTCGGCGGGCTTATTTATTAGGCTTTCCACAGAACGGTCTTGAAGTCGCGCGTACAAAGTAGCGTATCTTAAGGTAAAGCTAATCCCAACCGCGTTTATCGCACGCTTAATATTGAAAGATACGCTCGCAAGCGCGACGCGATAATCGGCGATAATAGAAATAGCAAAGTATCGAGAAAGAGGAATGGGCGTCGCGCGCAGGTGTGCGCGATTTCCGCCGCGGCGATTTTCATATCGCGGGATCTCCGATAGCTCGCCGCCTCTCGCAACGGTAAAACAGCGGCTGGAATTTCCTACTTCTTTTGGACATGCTGCATGCGGAAAGCACGAATATTTATCACTCTCCGGTCCGCTTGCACGTGAACCGTGTTGCGAAGTACACGTTCATCTGGGTCACACGCTCTGAAGCGTAAACCGCTCGGGTAATTAAAATAATTTACGCGCCGCACGGAGAAACCGCGCGAGAGCCGGCCAGCAGTCTATCGACTGTGGAGATGCGCGATTTTCGAAACGACGCGTGTCGCGATGGGGATGCTGATATTACCCCGTGTAAAAAATCGTTAAAGCCATCCCCTCATGAAGCATAAGGCTCCGATAAGGTTAAAAATAGGATGGACCCCAAAAAGGGATACCTCGTTATTACCACGTCAGGCCCCAAGATGGATCTTTTAGGGATATATATATATATATATATATCTTAGATTTTACGAAATGAGGCTTTAATAAAAAAAACTGATAAGGGCCTTAGAAGGATCTTTCAGGGATGCCTTAGATTTCACGAAATAAGGTTTTGATGAAATAAGGAGAAGCTGAGAAAGGCCTTAGAAGGATTTTTTTAGGGATGTCTTAAATCTAATAATTAATAGGGAAAGCTGAAAAGAGCCTTAGACAGATTTTTTAGGGATGCCTTAGATTTTATGAAGTAACGCTTTAACATGGAAAACTGATGTGGACTTTAGAAGGATCTTGTAAAAGGATGTTTTAGATATATAAAATGAAATTTTGTTATAGAAACGCTCTATCTGGTTCTTTTAAAGGTTTTTTAATTATACCGCAATTAAAAACAAATTTTATTAGTTTTACCAGTTGCCATATTCATTAGTCCCTTCCGAGGATTTTTCTAATATTGCCTTCGTTTACAGCAAACTTTAATAAAAACAGTAACAAGATTTTTATGTGTAAAGAATGCTAAAGAATATTTTATTGTAAGGTATGCTACATTTTTAAAATAAAGAATAAGGAAATAAAAAATTGCAGTCTAAATCTTTTGAAATGAAAAGAAGGAATATTTTTATTCAAGCAATAATAAAAATATTTCCTTACGAGGCTCTATTAACCCTTTCACTGCTGAATTAACTTCCATTGAGAAAATTATTAAAATATTTGGTAGTCCTACGTTTTTTGGATCGCTGATTACGAATCTAAAGACAGATTTGCAAAATTCAAAATGGCGGACTCAATACGGCGATCATGATGTACAAAATTAATGAAAATTCCAATTATTATTAAATAATGAGCAGGTCGTAATAAGAACATATGATTCTAGACGATGGAATTCGATCGAGCTGGAAAAAATTTATGTGGGAAAATGTTCAATACTGCATATTTATGCTTACTAGAGATTGAACATTCATTTTTGAGTAAAATAATATTGATAGTATGGATAAGATGGAGATAGAGAATAAAAAAACTAGGAAAGATAGAGCTAAAAAATGCAAAAAAATCAAATTTCGGCCGTTTTTGTAGAAATATTTGTTTATAACGAAAAATCTAACCTGCAAAAAAATACTGAAAGAAATATATGTTTTTGTACAACATCAGAAAAATATTTGGTGAAAATTTCAGACCTCTACATTCGATACTCTCCGAGGAATCGATTTTTCCCTAAAAAAAAAAAGCATTTCCTTTCTTTTCAACTTTGATTTGTTATAAATAATCACAAATGAATAATTGGGTATAAAAACCTATTGGAGTATGTCGAACAACTATTCAGTTATCTGGGAAACTCAAATCCCCGATTAGTTCTTCAAAATTATGCGATTTACAACGCAAAATTGAATCGAGATAAGGTGGGAAGTATATTTCCCGCTAACAGTGAAAGGGTTAAACCATTCGTTACACCTTTGTAGGTCCCTTGTCCCGTTCTATCCTTACTGAGACCCGCGATTAATTTTGGAGAAAAATAATCAGGTCCTTATACTAGAGCCCTATTAATTCTTCTACTCAGGACGTCGCGTCTCATAACTCATCGTTGACCCGAGCCTTGGTCTCGTACGTGCAGTTTTCAACCGCACGCGACGCGACGTTTCGCGCACTGATAGAAAAATATATAGTTGAATTAACTATAATCTCACTATATTTTATAGTTCATTTTGGCGTCAACCATATTTTTACAGTTGGTGGAACCTGCAAAATATAGTAGAAAAAACACAAATATATAGTCAATGATTGTCTTAAATAATTGTTTAGTTACTTTTACCACACATATGCTAATTTCTTATTCACAAATATAGTGAAATTTAATATTCATATAATTACATCTGTCATCATTTGGCAAATATTCTGCTAATATTGACTATATAAAAGAGTTACTTTATCTACCATTTTATATTTGTATCCATAAATAATACAATAATTTTAGTTTAGTTTAACTTACTATAATTCTTAGTAAAAAAAATATTATATTGTTGGTTATATTACACTGAGAGAAAAGTATATGATATTTGGAACTATAATGATATAGTAACTAAATTATAGTCCGAAATATTATATTCATAGTAAGTATTGCCATAATATCGGTAATAATTACGATATAGGCATAGTATAACCAATCATATAATATTTTTACTAAGAATTAATAAAAATTAGTAAGTTAAACTAAAATTATTGTATGGATACAAATATAAAATGGTAGGTAAAGTAACTCTTTCATACAGTCAATATTACCAGAATATTCGCTAAATGATGACAGATGTAATTATATGAATATTAAATTTCGCTATGTTTGTGAATAAGAAATTAGCATATGTGTGATAAAAGTAACTAAACAATCATTTAAGACAATCATTGACTATATATTTGTGTTTTTCTATACTATACTTTGCAGGTTCCACCAACTGTAAAAATATGGTTGACGCCTAAATGAACTATAAAATATAGTGAGATTATAGTTATTAATTCAATTATGTTTCTCTATCAGTGCATGCCTACATCGTAATTATTACCGATACTATAAGTATGATAAATATTTCGGACTATAATTTAGTTACTATATCATTACAGTCCCAAATATCATATACTTTTC